GTAGCGATGCCCTTGTTACTAGTAGTAATGCCCTTGTTACTAGTAGTGATGCCCTTGTTACTAGTAGCGATGCCCTTGTTATCAATAGCGATGGCGATGCCCTTGTTACTAGTAGCAATGCCCTTGTTATTAGTGGTAATGCCCTTGTTACTAGTGGTAATGCCCTTGTTACCAGTAGCGATGCGCTTGTCACTAGTAGCGCTGCCCTTGTCACCAGTAGCGATGCCTTTGTTACCAGTAGCGATGCCCTTGTTAAGAGTAGCGATGCCTTTGTTACCAGTAGCGATGCCATTGTTACTAGTAGCTAACTTCGTAGCCACTGCTGCCGCATTATGTGAGTGTGTCCAAAAAGGGCAAAAATGTCTCAGGTATGGTGCAATCTCTGGCTCGCTGATTCTGCAAGGAAAGGGCCGAAAAGAACTCTGAAGGTAGTTGAACCTTGTCCCCAGTCCCACCTCAAAAGAATATGTGGATCCAAAAAACGCAGCGATGCTTCACCTCTTTCTGTGGTGTAGAAGAACCAAGAGCGAGCAAGGGCGCTCCTACGCTGTAAAGTGGGTTCACCCTCGGCCAACATCTTCTTCACTGGAAAGCCCTTGATTTATTTGGAAAGAATAAAGAGACATCCTCTGACTCGGCCTTACAATTGGGCAAGCTAGCCTCATGGGCCCCTTCATTGACTTGCATAACTCTTTTCAAGTGTAATTCGCAACCCGCAACCAATCTTGTCTGCAATGCTCCTTGCCATCATCTGAACATAAGACATTAAACAGAACCAAAAAGGCAACAGAAAAACATTTCCAGACTAGTCCAATCTCAAGAAACCAAAAAACAAAAAACAAAGATTTCAGAACTATGTTGAAGATTGGACTAGTCTGGAAATGTTTATGTTTATTTTTTGTTTCTTGCCTTTGTCGTCCGGGATTAATCCAGATTAATATGAAAAAATATTCCTCAATGAACCCTACATGTCTGCTCCACAACAATCTCATACGCTCAAACCTTCATCTGCTGCTCATCTGCAGGAATTTGGCTTGTAGCTCCTGTTTGCTTTCCTTGCTCTCTGGTTTTCATTTATCTTACCTTCTTTCTGATTTAAAAAAACATATCCTTAAAATCATGTAGCTTCCTTCTATCCTCATCAATCTTGAGCCTCTTACATTCATACAGCATAATGTTATTTTTGAACATCAAGTCTATACAGTGATTAGCATAGGCTTCAAACTCAAATACATTTTAGCATAATGTTATGTTTCAACTGCCTTGTATTGCCAGTAGCTCCTACAATCTTGTCAGGATTGTTCAAATCAAACAAAAGTCCCAAATCAAAGCCCATTTGCCTACATTAAGAAAACAAATATTGAGCTTCTCATCACCATAAGATATGCCAAAAAACTTGTGGATAGTTACTGCTTCTGCACCGCATTCTTGTTTCATATTATTAGTGGGCACTACAAATACAACTGTAGGTGTTTACATATAAATGACTTGCCTGTTCCTGCAACATCACCTCTAACCATCAGTCTTTTTGTTGGCAAGATGTGTTCATTGATAGTCTCATCAGTGTTCCATTCATCTTTCACACCACCGGTTTCAGTTGAATACTCTGTTATGTTTTCTAAGAAGCTTGGTTTTCTACAAAAGGGTTGTGATGGAGACCTGAACCTATTACAATACTTCAATTCACCAATACCATTGCCAAACTTAAAAAAGACTTTTTGCCTTCCCTAAATTACATTTATCAATCACAAATGCATCAGTCTTTACTGAATACACCTGTATATCATTATGCTTCAGTTTCTCATAGGCAACATTCATACTATGGTTATGGTTATGTAAAATCATCTCTTTGATAAACCTATATCATATATCCACTCTTTAGATTTTTGGTGTCACTTATGCTTAAACCATCATGCTTATTTACAGTCAAATCTTTTTCGAAAACAAGTTCATTGTGCTCCTCATCTATCTCATGTTCGTTGCCTTTTTCGTCTCTCTCAATTAAGCAATCATCATCACTAATCATAATTATCTCCTCACCCTCCTTCATATATTCAGTGATCACATTTATGTCACCAACATATATCTCTTGATAGTAAAAGGATTCAACCATATTAGAAAAGGCTATTGACCTTTTTGCTACATTAGTTTGTTTTTCCAGTAGTCCAATGTTGATAGAAGCAATCATCTTATTTTTCTTATCTTTCTCTTCATCCTCGTCCAGTTTAAACTATACAAGTAATCAATGAGTTTTTTGTAGTTTACCTTGTATGTATTAGATGGCACTTTGAAATACATGATTTCAACAACATCGGCATATTCCTTCAAAAACTTTCCATAAATCAAGTTACTGTATGTTCTGTTGAGAAATATGTTCCTAACCTTGCTCTTCACTAGATACAATGTGAACGAGTTCATCTTGCTGAAATCATATATTTTGGGTCTATCCCATTGTCAGTAACAGTCAGTAAAAGGGTTTGCTGTCTACTAGTGTTCATAGTGGTTTTGTAGCATTTCCTTTCATTCTAAATCATGTTCTATTCAAATAATTGATAATCATATGATAATCATACGTCTTCCAAATATCAAATGCAGAAAACACCGGTATCCTGACAGTGTCGGTTGTACCTTGTGTGTATGCCTTGTTCAAATCTATTTCAATGTGTTTGTTTCAGACCCCACCTATGGATTCAACATATCCATTTGGTGCTATGGTGCGTGCCATTGAACAGATGTTCATATCATCTTTGTGATAGGAGGACTTGTGATTGGGATTGAACATCCCCTTGTTGAAGTTGAACATTGCTTCATTCACGCTATTGAATGTATCAGCATCGCTACTTGCAATACAAGTATCTACAGCACAGTTTATCAAACTCTGACTTCTGATGTTCAAAGTCAGATGGTTGAACTTGAGTTTGACTGATGAAATGTTGCTACCAGCTCTCATTATGATTTTGGGTTCATACTTTGCTCTCTTGATCTCACAATGTACATCATTAATTTCCCTTCTACTTTGTCACATCACTGATGTCAATATTCTTGATGGCAGTTGTATAGTCTTCAATGTTAGGATTTTGTGTTTTTAGTTCTCTATTTTTCTTAACCAATCTCTCAAGCGATTGTTTAAATAGTTCTGTGTTATGTATTATTTCAACTTCTTTATATTTGCCGGTCATATTAGTTCGCCAATTTCAACTACATCAACAAACTCTTGAAGGAAGCATTGGCCCTTGATTTGCGTTACTGACCTGATGCTAAAAGGGGAGCGCAAGCAAGCTGACTTACTGAAAGTATATATATGTATTTTTTTTACCTTCCCCTGCATCAACTATGTAAGAGTATTAATCTAGATTAATCTTCAGAACCCATTTCTGCAACCCAGAACAGTCCCTTCTCAAACGAAAGCCACAAAGAACTCCTCTCCAACCGGTGCTTCTTTGTACAAAGAAGTCAACACCATCCCGAAAGAACGGGAGGGTCCCGGTGTTCTTGAAAAACCCACCTCCGAGCGTCAAAGAAGTCAGCACAGCGCTGTGCCCGAAGCGTTTCGTCGGCAAATCCCCTGTGCACTCGATTTGGGTCCAGTTCTTGCCCTGCAATGACTGCATCGGTCCAAAAGAACCGATGCAAAGGTCCAAAAGGGCGGAGAAAGCAGCAAATCCCAGTCATAGAAACATATAGGTTGGAGGCCACTGCTCGTAGGTTGGAGATGGTTGGAGGCCATATTTGGTGAGAATCACTGGGAATCTGTTCATTCTAGTCCAGCTCCATGGACAATGTGCAGGGGGCTTTCCCGAACCAAACGTTCGATCAGGAGGGTGTTTTTCACCGCAACGTACAGGTTTGGATCTGGTTTGCGCAAACCTTCATTTTGTCAGGGTCGTGATACCCAATGGATCCTAAAGGCATGATGTTTGTTCAGGATTCATTCAACATTGTGTGGCTTTTTGCCAGTCTCTTTGAATGCAGTTTGTTGGTCTTGATCAGCCAACATAGTTTGCCCACCCTAGCGGCCCCCATATTCATGGGACAGGTACGAAGAAGAACAAATTGTCAGTAAACTTTGCTGCAGGGTACCCCCATTAGAACCTATTAGGTGAAAAGCCTTCACTTGCTGCACCTAAATGCCATCGAGAGGGATGGGAACGCGTATGGAACCTGCCACGAAGCTGAGTACACAGAACACTGATATCTTTCATCCGAATGAGGCGGAGGCGGATGCTGTCTAAATCAAAACTGCTTCTGATCCAGCTCCTAGTTCTGCCTCAACCTTGGTCCCCAGAAGAGCCATTGAAAAGGACCAAGGGGATGGGTTCCCTTCGCTTGATGTCAATTTGCACACAATCCGACCAGGTCAACAGTTAACATCAAGAGTCCACACAAAAACACATAACACCACACAACAAAGATCGCCATCCGACGTGCGAACCCTGTCACTACTCTCTCGGCCTCGAAATCAAAAAAGTGCACATCGTTGAAAACAAGATCACCTTGGCTCAACTGCTGCTTTTGGTCCCATGCTTGATTTGGATGCTGCAAACATCCACCGATCTGCTACTAGTTATGTTGGTCCGTGCATGGAAGCAACGACAAATTGATTGATGAAATACATTCTGGACTTCTCACTTTGTGGAATTATTGTATACTCTCCCTAGCCTGCCTGCAGCGTTTCATCCGTAATTGATGTTCACCTCAACGATTTTGTGCTCTTACAAAATGGTTCCTGGGCATTCATCTGGGTCGCTGCTTGGTCCTGTCTGACCGACTCTCATTCCTCCGAAGATCCACATGCCACCAAAGCCATCCGTGACGGCGCTGTGCATGGTACGGGCGGCTGGCGGGGTGCCAGCAGGTTGAACTGGGGTCCAGCTGCGGCCCGTCTTGGCTGAAAGGTCAATGGCGTCCTGACGGTCAAACCAAATCGAACACATCTTGACAGAAACGACTTCAAGAAGGCAGTCCAAACAGCTAGTTTTTTGTTACGACTAGCAATCAAATATAATCAAATAACAACACCTTTGATGTTCCAAAACCAACTCCCCACATTATGAGCCCGCCCCCAATGATGGATGGCAAAAATTGTTTGCAACATGAACCTGTAAAGTGGGTACCTCGCGAACACTTCCAATCTGCTTTGCATGCCCCATGTTTGATTTGATGCAGCGGGCATGCCAGAATTTGCACTTGATCCTGTGGTTCGATTCGAGTTGAAGTATGTGTGCACTATGAAACTATATGAAACTAAACAACTAGGCCATCTGTAATACCTGAGCCGAAGCTCAAGTACACGCAAGTATACGAGTAAAATGTGCTATTTCACTGATTTAGGACTGCGGCCGTTCGAAAAATCATCTCACTCTCTTCTTCTTTTCCAACCCAGTCCAGCTCAATAAAGTCTAACTGGTCTGCGGGCGGAACATTTTTGCTGTGAGTACCTCCATGGATCCACATACGCCCAAAGCCGTCCACGATGGCCACATGCCCAGCGCGCTCGGCAGGGGTCTGCTCCTTGGGGCCGAGACATGCAACCTGTCGCAACTCTATGCGCGCAAAGGACCGCAAAGGCAGGTTAAGCAAGATCAAAAGGAGCAAGGCCGGCACCAAAACGCACAGGGAAAAGTGGCGATACTTTGAAGGGCTTGTAGGTTTAAAAGCAATTGAAACTTTCAGAACGTCACCGTGGACCCACCATCCATCGATGGTATTTGCGTCGGAAGTCATGAGCTCAAGATCCACACAGCGGCCGGCAAACCAAGTTGTGATGAGTATCTTAGCCGCTGTCCAGGAAGAACAAACACAGCAGCTCTACCAACATTCAGCAGACCGTCGTTGCGTTGAAAGAGCCCCTGAGATTCTTCACTGCTTAAACCGGTACGAGTAGCTACAGAAGGCCATGTAGAAAGACTCGGGCCAGGAAGAAACCGAAAGGAAGAGGCAATGGCCCAAGGCGTATCAGGCAGTTGCTCAGCCCATCATGGACCTGGATGAAGGTTGGACAGATACGGCCTAGGACCAGCGGATGCTTGCAAAGATTGGCGCACCAAAAGCTACGGCATTCTTAGTCAGCAAGGTTTTCAAAGAAGCTGCGCCGACTGGGAACACTTGGCTGATCTCACCATGTGAGAGCAGCGAAGAGCCACCCAAAGTCAAAAACCAAATTTCAGGAGTGGACCTGCACCAAAAAAGCATCCAAACTGCTTGAAGCAGAAACCCAGATGCTTAAATGATAAATGGATCCTCAACATCTGATTGCTTGACACGCAAGCCAAGCTCTCCAGACAGGAGGATCGCAAGATATCGCAAGGCACATCACGCTTTGCAAAGCAACTTTTCAGTCCAGAGACACAGATACAAACAAAGCAGTCCGGAAGTCAGACAAGCGACAAAAGAACAACATCACAAGCCAGCCACTCAACACCAGCCTCGCCCCGTGATTTTTAACTGCTGTGAGGTCATGAGCACTCCTCTCAGCGAAAGATCTCCAGGCATAGCAACAGCACAAGAAGCCAAATTGGTGAAATGTCTTTTGTTTTCCATGGATGGTGAGAAGTTGAAGAACCACAACTGCATGCCTTCCGACTCCTTCCGGAATCACGTTGCCTTCCGGGTGACAAGGGTGGCACGTTCATGGTCGACAAGCATCGTTGCTCAGTGGCAGAGGTGCACGACAGGTGCACACCAGTTGGACTAAGATTGAATTTTGCCCATGAGGCACATGCGTCTCCTGCAGAAAAATGCTGTCGACCTCTTCACACCGACATAATCGAGGATTTTGAGCTGGCTAAATGAACAGGTGAAAACTCAGGCTTTCGTGAATTAACCCTCCAGGTGCGCACACAAAGCCGCGTCAGAAGGCAATTTCAAGCGGCGAGCCAAGTTGCAGCAGTCCACAGTGGTTGGCTGCCCAATGGCCAATCTCTCACAAAGCTGGCTCACACCAGCCACCAGATTTCTTAGCATTTTGATGGTAATTGCCCAAGATGCAGTCCACAGCAGCAGTGAGTTTTTGCAAACAAAGGTTCCAGACGGCTGCAAAAACCGATATCGAAAACCTCTATTCCAGTATCAACACCGAAGACTTGCGGGAGGTCGTGTGTGCCGAAGTGCTGCGGCTTTATGGCAGCACAAGGGAAGCTCAATGATCTCAATGCGCCGACCCGCCTTCTTTGAAGTCAGCCTGCAAAACCAGCTTGTATTCCACAAAAGCGAGTGCCAGAACGCTATCAAGCATTCGGTATACATTCGGTAAAGGGGATACTGCCAGGCGGGTTCCTTGCGAACATCGATGTCAACCAAGTGGATGTTTGCCGATGCATTCTGGAGAAGTTGGATTTTGTTTGCACGACTCATGGATGATTCAGTGGTGCGCTTCAAGCACCGATGCCGATGCCATACAAGCAACTGGTATGGGAAGGCTCTAGATGAAGAACCAGTGGCTTTCTTGGACCTCAGATTGAAGAAGAGCCATGGAGCCATGATGTGGGAAGTGTTCCACACGCCATTCAACAAGTACTTGCACATCCCCAAAGCCAATTGCCATCCGACATCTGCTGCCAGTCTGATCCAAGAGGAAACCAGTAAACTCTGTTGCTGAAACGTTTGCGCGTCGTAGAGCCTCTTCAAGCCATTCCACAGCATGATCCTTAAGCATAGCCTTACATAGCCATACAGACCCACAAAAATCATTAAACACCGACACCGCTTGACGAGAAGACTGCATTTAGTACTGCATATAATCTTCGGGACACAACATGCTCAAGCTGAAAGCTAATGTAGCTTTCAACGTTCAACGTTCAGAAGTCCCATTCTCGACCAGTTTTCTGAACAATTGGCAGCAGGGGCCATAGTCTGAGTTCGGTTTATTCGATTCCTGGGGAAGTGGGAGGGTCTGTTTTTTTAGAAAAAACATAATCAAACAGCAAGCAACCTGTCGCATTTTTTTGTGTGCAAGGGCAGGTTGAACAAACTCCAACAAGCAACGAAACGGGTACCAAAAACGATCAAAAACGCACAGCCCAAAGTGGTGATATTTCGGGTGCCTGTAGGCTTGATGTGTCTAAACCTTTGAAGCAAACAACACAACTCGCAAACAAAAATCCCTGAAGAGGGAAAGCTAGCACTATTCCTGAGATTGCTAGCTTAATAAGCAGCTGGCTCTCATGCCGGACACCAAGCAAAAATGTGTTGCAACATGCACAGAAAGGGAACGGTATGACGACAAATAATGATGTATATTGTGAAGAGGGACCTGCAAACGAGAATGCCGAGAGGATTCCACCATTGCAACTCTTGTCATTAGTCTGTTACACGTTTGAAGTCTGGCGGGAAAGTTTGGGATAAACGTGTGCGTCCGTGGGTCAATCATCATCATCAGTCATCCCATGGGAGGGATTTGTAGGTCAATCTTAAACTGCTGTGTTTGGGGGTGTTACCACCCGATGGAGACTGACAATGGAACCGGAACGGAACCCGACCCAAGCCCAGCTGCTGCAGCGACTTGGATCCATTTCTCGGACGCCATGTCGAAGCACTGCCTGAGGGAATCATCATCTTCTTCATCATCATCACCATCTACTACTACAAACTACTACTACTACAAACTACTACTACGACTACTACTTATGCTACTTACTACTACTTACTACTAGATCTACTAGTTACTACTAGTTACTACTAGTTACTACTACTTACTACTCCTTACTACTCCTCCTTACTACTACTTACTACTACTTACTACTACTTACTACTACTTACTACTACTTACTACTACTTACTACTACTTACTACTAC